CAGCCGAACAACAGGTTGAAAGGCAGCTGCCATGTTATGCACCCAAAGAGATGTAATATTTCCCTACTGCTGAAATCATGGGAAATTGATGGCATTTTTTGAACCATCAAAATTGGAAAGAGTCATGACTATCACTTAATCTGAATCCATCTGAAGATCTTAGGTGCTGTGCGAGTGGGAAGCACCCACCCTCTGGTTATTAAGGCAGGCACTGAATCACCAATCAGACCCTTTTGTAATAAATAAAAGTATGGAAAATATATTGCTTCCCAGGTGTAAACATGAGTTTCTTTCTTCTCAGCGATAAAGGTTTTGTTGTTGTATAAATTCATTGTTCAGCCAGCTGCTTCCAATCATACTCTTGACCAAATAAAGCAGATTGCTTGGAATAGGAGCATAATGAGCTAAATGCAAAGGAGCACCTTCTGGCGGGCCCTTCATGGATTTCGCGCATCTGGAAACCAGGAAATATGAGGCTGCTGCCAAGAGCAGCATTTCACATGTAAATTTGAGATATGCTTAGCCAAATCCTGGAAGAGGCATAGCCAAAGGTCTTTTTAAGTTTGGAATATCATGATCTCAAGGAGTATATTAAGAAGTTCTCCTCCTTTCACTCAGATAACTGAACCATTTCTTTGGCCTTAAGATCCCCTCTTCTTTTAAGGCAGACTGTTAACGCTTTCTTTCTTTTTTGTCAGCAAGCATCAAGTCAAAAATAGTCTTCTCGCGTGTTGCCTTGGAAATTATCACCCACTAAAGAGCTAAAAATGTCTTCTAAGCACTTAACAAAAAGAAACTATGGAACCGTCTTCTAATAATTCTGTGAATTCTCTACACTAGTAATGTTTATATCCTATAACTCATGAACAATTTGGACTTTTTGTTGCCTTCCATGTAGTAGAAATCCTATCCAAAGAAAGAGAAATCAAATGGGTGTTACCTTAAAAAATGAATCATGCAGATGATGCTTAGCATTTAATAAACATTGCACAAGATAGATAGATGGCTGCAGTTATATTCTTATTCAGCCCAGCATAAAATTATAGATCAGGGGTCCCCAACCCCTGGGTCGGGGCTCATTATCAGACCGGGCCTGTTTGAAACAAGACTGTGGGAGAGATGGGCAAGCGTGCACAGTTGAATCTCCCCACTTGTGAGTGGCGGACAAGCGTCCATGCATGAAGCTCCACTCATGTCAGCAGAGAGCGCTTACATGAGCGGAGAGCACTTGCACAAGTGTGTGAAGCTCCATTCATTTGAATGGAGCTTTTTGCACAGGAGTGCCCTAAGCTTGCACAAGTGGAGCTTCACATGCAAGCACCCTCCACTCAAGCGCCCTCCACTCGTGTGAGTGAAACTTCATGTGGAAGTGCCTGCTGCTCGCACGAGTGGAGTTTTGTGGATGAGTGGAAGCATCCTGTCATGCGCGAAAGTATATTTCAGCAAGTATATTTCATTCAACACGCATGCCATTCACACAAATGGAGTTGTGCACATGTGCATGCATCTGCCACTCACCCCCCCCCATACCAGGTCATCCACCAAGCTGGAAAGATTGGGGGCTGCTGCTATCAATAACAAAACTGTGACTACAAGTGGTCCTTGATTTACAACAGTTCATTTAGTGACCATTCTAAGTCAGAACTGACAAAAATGACTTATGACCCTTTTTCACACTTATGACTATTTCAGCATCTCCATGGTGGACGTGATCCAAATTTGGACCCTTGGCAACTGACTCATGACAGTTGCAGTGTCCCGGGGTCATGTGATCACTTTTTGCAACCTTCTGACAAGCAAAATGGGGAAGCCAGATTCAGTTAACATTTTAAGTAAACAATAAGATGATTATTTAACATAATAAGATTTTGTGTCTTTTTTGATTTGGGAGTTTAGGCCTTCTTGTAGCTGTTGTCTGCAAGGTATCATCTCTTTTATGCTTACAATGGATCTCACTGGGGCTCTGCATGACTTTGTTGTAGCTACTGGCCTTCTTCATCTTAATTGGCTCATAAGGCTTCTCAGCTCCACATGATTTTTTCATGATCTTGAAGGGGGCTCTTGATCACTCTTTAGGATGCTTGTGCTGCCCACAGACTACTTAGCTCATAATTAGGCTAGCATAATCTGTCTTGACCAACAGAAAAGGAGGAACAAATACAAGTGTAAGAAACCTAGTCTTAATCCTTAGGAATAAATAAATAAATTTGCATATGAAGTTTGGGACAAAGAATAACAAAAAAACCCACACCCCAATCTATGAATAGGCAAAATGTTTATGCAGGTACCAAATCTGGATATGCAAAACTAGGTATCACGAGACTACGAATAACAAGGGCTGCCTTTATTAAAGTTAGACTCCAGTCTTGAAAAGTAAAGGTGACCTCAGATCAAATTTGATTCCTGATGACTTTGTAGACATGTCCGCATCATTTTTCTTTATGCCTGTATGTAAGAAGCGGCCAGGCTGAATTCGAGGGTGGGGTCAAGTGCATCATCAGTTTGGAGTCTCTACGCTCCCATAAGAAATGTAAATCCAGCCCCCTTTAAGTCCGCTGACTCTTATCTGGCACCAAGTTTCTTTGACTGTTAGTAGTTCAGATTCTTCTGAATAGATAGCATGAAATAAACTTCTAGTGCTGTATTTTTGAATAGCCTGATCCCTAATACATATGGAAGTAGTTTGGTTTTATCCTCTTCCAGGATATAGTGATAATGTGTATTTTTTTCACTTTTGTCATACTGTTCCTGTATTCAAACAGATACTAACTAGTCTGAACAAACCAAAGATTTGCCAGCTACTGCCACTTGTCTTAAGAATTTAAATTGCACCAATTGCATGGTTGCCAGAGATGGGTGTTAGCTATCAATATTATACCTTATTATAACCCTTCCTTTGTGCCTGCAGTGGTAATATTCCAATTAAATTCCATGTGACTATATGTAGTATCAGATGGACCTCAAGCACTGTACATTTGGAAATGACATCAGTGTACTTAAGGAAACAAGTAGACCAATCTACTAAAAGTTGCTAGCAACATTTACAGGTGGAAAGTTACATTTGAGACAGGAATTGGGTTTTTGCTTTGAAAATATTAATGTCCGTAATTTATTCCTGTGTTGTATGTTAGCAAAAATAAAAAATTAAGGTTTGCATATATTTGCATACCTGGAAACAACATGACTTTAAGTAAACAAACTTGGGGCAGATCACAGTTGTGCCTAATCATATTTCATTGATAAAATGTGTAAATTAATAACCATTCTAAAGTTTAAAACCAAACAAGACTTTGCCTACGTACTGATTCCTATTTTAAAGAATAAAGGAGTAGATGGGAAAGGCAGGAATGGGTGGGGAAGGGGAGAACCTAATGATATGCAAAAACAGAGGGGATTTTACGCTAATGATTCAAAGGGATGTAGCAAATGAGAGAGAACAGGAAAAACAGATATTAAGAGAGATTTCTAAGTAAGAAATCCAAATCAAAGAACTGAAGCTGGATAAGTATTAAGGAACTAGGAGTCCTAACTAGAAGATCAGTCTAAGCAAAGTTTAAAGGAGGGATGGGGTTGTTATTGGTGGCGTCTTTTCAAAAACTTTTGTCCCTCCGGAATAATGTTTTAAGGACCTTCCTGCTGGCAGCGGGAGCGCAATTAAAACTGAAAAGGGTCAGCTCTTCCAGAAAGCTTTTGAAATCAGAGCAAGGGCTGCCTCCAAGGTGTAAAAGAATGAGAAAGCCTTTAGGGAGAAATGAAGAAGCAGAGGCAGAGAGAGAGAGAAAAGAGAATAAAAAATAATGTATACTGGCAGATAAAGGTGGGGAAATGTACAGAGGAAATGTTTAACCCCCCCTCCCACAAAAGGAGAAGGGGGGAAAGACTGGCAGTAAAACTGAAGACTGAACAGAAAAGGAAGAAAATGGTACTGGTAAACCAGTACAATTAGTAGCATAGGGGATAGACAAGGATATTGAAAATGGAAAGCAATGCATTGGAAAGAATGGTGTGGGATTTTAATTTTTATCTATCCATCTAGGCAGCACTTTTGGAGGAGGATTGCTAACTGAAAGGAAATAAGGACTGAAAGGAAATAAGTGGCCACAAACCACCCAGTTGCTTTCTGTGCTTAAGACAGGATCAGAGTCCAGGTCCCCCTCTCAGGTTCCAGTACCTTAACTGCTAGATCAAAGTGGTAATAAGGAAAAGTCCAGGACTTCATGGTATAAATTTGGAAAGCTCTTTGCTGGAAAGAATTTGTATTGGAGATCAACCGATTGAAGTTTTTGTAAAACAGTTATCAAGTTTCTTCCCCCCCCCCCAAATCTTTGCAATCTTTATTGAGACCTTTAAAAGGAAATATTTAAAACCCTGGGACGGAGACCTCATTCGCTGTGTTTGCGCCAGGCCAGACACAACCCTGCACTTTTCTGGTTGAATTCCTGCCTGCTGCTGTAGCTGTTTGGAGGTAGGATGCCTGCTATCCTCTGCCTTTGGCCATGGAATCTGCAGCTGGTAGCAATTGCTGCAGATGTTTGGTGGGCAACAAATTGACCTGGGCTGGGTTTAAAATGGGTGCCACTTCTCCTGATTTTATGAGTTCTTCCCAGTGTTTCTTTTCGTGGCTTTCTTCCCACCCTTTCCAAAATATGGGTGCTATCTAGGAAGGAACGGGGCCGTCGCAACTGACTGCAAAGCAGAAAGCTTTGGCAAGAGATCTGCTTTTCAAATCTAGCACCTCATGAGGACTAGGACCAAGCAGGACACCACTTCTTTTTGTGATCAAGCTTGTGGTTTTTTTTTTAAACTCTGTAATTCAGTGCAAAAAAAAAAGGAAGAACAGGCATTTATAATTTATATATAAGAACAGTTCTAAGAACAGCTATCAAGTTTCTTGAAATGCTTCATTCAAGGAATTGCAAAGACTTTCAGTCCTATTGTAAGATACAGATTTGCTAAAAACTGTGTGACGTTTTGTGAATAATTTGTTTTCTCTTTCGCAGATCAAGTCACGGCAATCTCTTCTTTGTTTCGCTACTGGATTACAGATATCCTTCCTGGAAAGGAGGACAGGAAATGAGCCGAATGAGAATCTCCATCTGTACAGAGCTAAAATCTAAACCTCTGAATTAAATCTGAGAATATTTGGGGAGAAATATGTCTTTGAACAGAATACAGGTTCACAGAGACACTATTAATTCTTTTCTTTTATTTTTTGGATGGGGTTTTGTTTGTTTGTTTGTTTGTTTGTTTGTGACTGGCTGAATCTGCAAGGGCCTTTCATCTTTAGTGCACCCAGAGATCTCAGACAATGGCCTCAGGGAAGTCCATCTCACTTTTTCTTTCAAGAAATTTGGAGTGGCCACCTTACAAGCCAGCAAGTTCCAGCATTGATTTAAGATGTTGGCTAACAACATGGACCGCAAGAGCTGTGACTTGGACTAGAGAAGCCTGATGTTCTTTTTCTCAGCTTAATTCACTTTGAACAAAGCTCAGAAACTCTTTTGATTGATCGGTCCACGGGCAAGCTGAGAAACTTCGGAGACCAATTTACAGGCAGCAGAGAGAAACATACTGTCTGGTGTGCAAAGACAGGAAAACTTGAGAAGATTGGCTTTCCCCATCATATCTCTGCTGTTGTTTTTTTAAATACTCACTGTAGGAGCAGAATAAAAGGTGAATCTTTTTTCTTGTATTCTTTATTTGAGTTGGGAGGATGGGATGATAAACTGTATAGGCTTCGTTTTGAGTTACGGCATAGTCAGTTTTTGGCAGAAGTTTTTTTTAATGTCATGGAAATATTTGGGGTATTCTAGATGGGTATCTCCATTAGTTCCTCTTAGAACTGCAGCCTTCACCGAACAACTCAAATTATTAACTCAAATGTTTATTATGGTTTCCAAGAGAGAAATCTAGCGGGAACAGCTTTTCTAATACCTGCACAAGAGCAGCTTCTCTTGCCAAAATATGCCCTTTATATACATTTTAAAGATACTAGAGAGAACAGGATCCCTAAGGGACATCAAAATAAATTATTCAGAGAAACTATGCAGAATAAATATTATTCCTTAAGCTCCATTTGTAAGCATAGACTCCAAACCCAGCTTCCTTGTGTTTCTGCCTCTGCAGTCTGTACAGAGGAAAATCTGCTCCTGAGTACAGTGTGAGGTCATTAATTTTTGACCAAAATATGTATTTTTAACATATAATAAATCCCATACTAGCACGCCTGTCTTCTATTTGGCTTGCCTGCGTAGCAAAAATGGAGAATGTTCTCCCAAAGTTGCTGAGTCTTGGCCCCCTAAGAAGCATAGATAATGCTTATTTCAATAGTTTCTGAAGGACTGCAGAGGAACTCTATCTTTGACACTGCGTATCTGACTGTTTACTATTTAATTCTACTATCCTCAGAAATACCCACCTATCTCTTAATACTCTAAATACAGTGGCTTCTGTAAGTTGTATGTTTTTATTATGCATTCACATTACGCCTGCAAAATGTATGCTATTTCTCCTTTCTCTTCTGCATCTTCAGTATAACCTAGCTTGTTATGATCAGCTCCTCTTCTTTTTTTAAGAATGCAATTCATCCTCTGAAACTGTTTTGTTAATACAGGAAGTCCTCCACTTACAACCATTCATTTAGTGACTATTCAAAGGTACAACGAAACTGGAAAAAAAAGTGGGTTATGACCATTTTTCACACTTAACAGCCGTTGTAGGATCCACATGGTCATATGATCAAAATTCAGACATTTGACAACTGACTCATATTTATGACGGTTGCAATGTCCCAGAGTCATGTGATCATCTTTTCCGATCTTCTGACAAACAAAGTCAATGGGGAAGCCAGATTCACTTAACAACCGTGTTACTAACTTAACAACTGAAGTGATTCACTTAACAACTGTGGCAACAAAGGTTGTAAAGTAGGGCAAAACTCAATAATTGTCTCTCTTAGCAACTGAAGTTTTGCAGTTGTCTTATTCAGACATTGACACATTCAAAGATTCAGGTAACAGATAATGGCAGTCAGGATATATTATATTTCCATTCAACCAACTTTGAAAATGAGTTGATGGTGAACAGAAAAACAGACTACGTACATGGCATGTCTGTCATGTTCCATGATACCTAATGCAAAAGATTCTGAGATGATTATATTCATAAGTAGAAGTGGTTATCAGCTCTATTTCATTGTGCTAAAATTTCAAAATAAGGCAACCATTAAAAAGCAGGAAACTCTTTTGTGCTTGTGAGGATAGATTTTTCTTTTTTCTTTTCTTTTTCTTTTTTTGGAAGGATCATAACATCTTCATTTTGCATCATTGGCATTAGCAACAAATGTCATTTAATAAAGAATAATCTTATTTAAAAGAAATCAAGTGAGATTTGAGATTCCTGGTAAGTAAAGCAATGTTGCCCCTGATTATAGCATTCTGGTTTTGTTTTGTTTTTTTGCAGGAAGATTTTCTGAAACCAGAGGAATAAGGAATGCAGAGTGTGGATTGGGAGTATTTAGTTTAGTTGAGTATTAGTGACAGCGTCAGAGTGGAAGCATATTGCGCTACAAAAGAAAGGAGGTCATGGAGGAAAAGTGACAGGATTTGGCCTTGATCATTGTCAAGACCGCGAGATACATATTAGATCAGGGGTGTCAAACTGGCGGCCCGCAGGCCGGATGCATCACGCGCAGGCCACGCCCACCCCAGCTCCGCAAAGGCAAAAGATGTTGTGATATATTTTGTATTATTTTTAAACATACCTTTATGTTATATGCATTTACCCCAAAAGATAGACTTTCCTTTAAACATTCCTTTAAAATGAGCCGTTTTTATGTATTTCTTTTAACTGAGAACTGCTTTACTAAATTTAAGAAGTGTGTTATCCAGAAGATATTACTCCATTCCACAAAGTTGTCAGAGAAGTGAAATAGGTTAATTTGAAAAATGAACAAAATAAATCTTTGCAGCATTCCTAGCAAAAAAAAAAAAATACTATGAAAAAAACATGATTGTGCAATCGGCTCGTTTAAGTATTTGAATTTTGTTTATCACAGACTTTTAATCAACCAACATATTGGAAAAAATGAGAAAGAGAAGCCAGTTGAGGTCAGTGTTGCCTGATAGCTTTATAAATTACCTGTAACATGAAATAAACTTGTTCACCAATCAAAGTTGGGCACCTCTAGACAAGAAGAAATGAAAACACTCTGCGGAATAAAAATGCCAACTGGTTTGTGTTTGGCTTTAAAAATAGGGCAGTTTTTGAAAGGAAGAAAATTAAAGAAATGCAGAGTTAACTGGAGTATAAGCAGCAATGTTAGGCTGCAGTACCTGAAGGATAAAGGATAAAATACATGAAGGAGACATCCAGTACATGGAAGAGACATGCAGAAAGATGTATATGTATGTGAGTATAAAAGAATTGTGATTATAGTAATAAAATCTAATACAAACCAAGAAAAAGAGAAGAGAAAGAAGTGCAAGAAAAAAGAAGAGGGAAATGCAATACAATAAAGATATGTGTGTGTGTGTGTGTGTGTGTGTGTGTTTGAGAGACTTCCAACCTTCACAAGTATAAGCAAATTTAGTGACTCTTCACCCCTTCTAAGGTTACCAACATTTATCTCTTCATTTCATATACTGTCTCTTATCTATAAACAAATCCATAAGAAAGCATCTTTTTAGTCCTTGTGTCACCAGAAATTCCATGAAGGGTTGTCAGAAATAACAACACCTCCTGTTTTAGCCTTGATCAAATAAACCAACTTTACTTCCTTTTACTTCTAACAGTCTTAATTTTTAGTTCATTCAAATATTGTTGTAGGATTTGATTTCTGATCATTTTTTCTTCAGCCCATTGCACAAGTTCTTCAAGGCCCCAATAAGCCTCTTTTGTAAAGTCAATAGGAGTAAAATATTTAGGTCTCTCTTTTGGTTTGTCATTTGTGTTTGTTTCCCTTTTAAATTTTAAAACCTCAGCCAGGTTTTTTTTATAGATCCAGTGATATGGATTAAATTGTAAATGTGCTTTAGATTACAGATTGATAAATATATTTACTGATATTCATAGTAAGATACAAAAATAGCATTGATATGAGTGGGAATATGGAAACCTAGATAAATTCTATAAAAATACTTTGATAGCTTACTAAATAATAAGACAAAAGCCACACAAGGTTGGCTGACAGACATACAGATTGTAGTTGTTTTGTTTTAATATACGGTAGAAAACTGAAACCAGGTTCATATCTGAATCCTACACATTATGAGGAAAACCATTATTCCATTTTACTAGTAAATAACTTTTAAAAATTTGGGATGCTATTCAATTAAATGCAAGATTGCAAATTGACAGCTATATATTAATTTTTTTTTCAATTGCATTAAGCTAAGCATGTTGCAAGAGTTTTCATTTATTTTAGAATAGAATAGAATGGAAGGGACCTTGGAGGTCTTCTAGTCCAACCCCCTGTCCAGGCAGGAAACCCTACACCACTTCAGACAAATGGTTATCCAACATCTTCTTAAAAATTTCCAGTGTTGGAGCATTCACCACTTCTGCAGGCAAGTTGTTCCACTTATTAATTGTTCTGTCAGGAAATTTCTTCTTAGTTCTAAGTTGCTTCTGTCCTTGATTAGTTTCCATCCATTGCTTCTTGTTCTACCCTCAGGTGCTTTGGAGAATAGTTTGACTCCCTCTTCTTTGTGGCAACCCCTGAGTTATTGGAACACTGCTATCATGTCTCCCCTAGTCCTTCTTTTCATTAAACTAGACATACCCAGTTCCTGCAACCGTTCTTCATATGTTTTAGCCTTGAGTCCCCTAATCATCTTTGTTGCTCTTCTCTGCACTCTTTCTAGAGTCTCAACATCTTTTTTACATCATGGAGACCAAAACTGAATGCAATATTCCAAGTGTGGCCTTACCAAGGCATTATAAAGTGGTATTAACACTTCACGTGATGTTGATTCTATCCCTCTGTTTATGCAGCCCAGAACTGTGTTGGCTTTTTTGGCAGCTGCTGCACATTGCTGGCTCATATCCAAATGGTTGTCCACTAGGACTCCAAGATCCCTCTCACAGTTACCACTATTGAGCAAGGTACCACATTTTTTCACTGTTGAATTTCATTTTGTTAGATAGCACCCAATGTTCAAGTCTGTCAAAATCCTTCTGTATCTTGAGCCTATCTTCTGGAGTGTTGGCTATTCCTGCCAGCTTGGTGTCATCTGCAAATTTGATGAGTTCCCCATCTATCCCCTCATCCAAGTCATTGATGAAGATGCTGAAGAGTACTGGGTCTAAAACAGAGCCTTGGGGTACTCCACTGCATACTTCCCTCCATGTAGATGCAGTTTCATTGAGGACTACACGTTGAATACGGTTGGTCAGCCAGTTACAAATCCATCTGGTGGTGATGCTGTCTAACCCACATTTTTCTACTTTATCTAGTAGGTTATGGTCTACTTTATCAAATGCTTTACTGAAGTCCAAGTAAATTATATCGACAGCATTCCTCTGGTCCACTAATTTTGCTGCTTAGCCCTTTCATATTTTGCTAACAAAAGAAATAAAGTTATATACATAACAACAATTGTAATATTTGATTACCTAAATTAATTTAACCAACTAAAAGCACAAATTCTTCCTTGGAACTACATGTCATCATCAAACTCAGTT